CGCTGGAGCCGTGCTGCTGGAGTTGGAGGTACTACTGTTGCTGCTGATCCTGGAGGTGCTCGTACTGGCGGTACTAGAGCTGCTGGGACTAGGGGTGCTGCTGGGGCTGCTGGAGTTAGTCCTGCTGGAGGTACTGCTGGAGCTGCTGGCGGTGCTGGAGCTGACGGTCCTGCTGGAGTTCGTGCTGCTGGAGCTGGAGCTGCTGGGGGTGTTGGCGCTGGTGGTTCTGCTGGCGCTGGTGCTTCTGAGGGTGCTGGAGTTGGCGCTGTTGGAGTTGGAGGTGCTGCTGGCGCTGGTACTGCCGCTGGGGGTACTGGTGCTGTCCCTTCTGGTTCTGGAGGCACTGCGCGGCCGAGGCCGTACTTCGTTCCGCTCCTTGAGCAGGTTCTTGGTCTCCCGCCCTCTACTGGTCCTGCTCCTCCCTTAGAGTGTCCACAGCCTGTCCAGTCGCGGTCACAGTTACAGCCCGCCTCCCCCCTACCTGCTCCTTCTCCCTACACTGGTCCTACTGGAGGTCTTGCTGAGCGTCGTGAGCCTGCGTCTTGTCCTGCGTCGCCTGTTCGTGCTGCTCGCACTAGTGGTCGTGCTCCGCGTCCGCGTCCTCCTGCGGTCCCCGGCACACACCAGATGGCACTGCGTCCTTCCACTGCTCCTCTGCGTGTCCCGTTGCCGTCTCCTCCAGAGTCCTCTCTTCCTACTCTTGCTGACCCGGAGTCTGACTCTCTTCGTGCTGCCAGTCCTACTGTCACGCGTCTCCTGGCTATTGTTGTCACTGACCCTTCTTTTGAGTCCACTGCTGCGTCTGCCTTAGTTGCTGAGCTTGTCGACTTTGCTGCTCGCTGTCGTCTAGACTACGCTGCTAGTCTTGTTGCTGAGTCTGAGTCTGTCTGTCCTCCGTCCGTCGGGGGTGAGTGTGCTCTTAGCACGGACGTCCTTGAGGACAGGCAGGAGGAGTTCCAGTGCTTTGCTGCTGCTTTGCCTCATCTCGTGTCCACGCTGATTGCCCCTGAGGGAGACCCGGATGCACCAGACATCCCGACTCCTCGATCGTACGCTGAGGCGATCGAGGGTCCCTACTCCTCACAGTGGCAGTCAGCCATGGACGCAGAGATGGCTTCCTGGAAGTCCACAGGCACCTACGTTGACGAGGTTCCCCCACCTGGGGCGAACATCGTCAGTGGCATGTGGATTTTCAGGGTGAAGCGGCCGCCGGGTTCTCCGCCTGTCTTCAAGGCGCGTTACGTGGCTCGAGGCTTCAGTCAGCGGCAGGGAGTTGACTACTTTCAGACCTTCTCTCCCACCCCGAAGATGACCACTCTTCGGGTGCTGCTGCACATAGCCGCTCAGCGCGACTACGAGCTTCACTCTCTTGACTTCAGCACAGCTTTCCTGCAGGGCAGCCTGCACGAGGAGATCTGGCTGCGCCGCCCACCTGGCTTCACTGGGTCGTTTCCTCCTGGTACCCAGTGGAGCCTCCGGCAGCCAGTCTACGGTCTCCGCCAGGCGCCCCGTGAGTGGCACGACACACTGAGGACTACACTTGCGGCTCTTGGGTTTGCTCCGTCTACTGCCGACCCGTCGCTGTTTCTGCGCACCGACACCTCTTTGCCGCCGTTCTACATCCTCGTGTACGTCGACGACTTGGTCTTTGCCACTGCTGACACTGCTGGACTCGCCCACGTGAAGTCCGAGCTGCAGAAGAGACACACGTGCACAGACCTGGGTGAACTGCGCAGCTACCTTGGCTTGCAGATCACCCGGGACAGAGCACAGCGCACCATTACCCTGACTCAGTCACACATGGTGCAGCAGGTCCTTCAGCGCTTCGACTTCACGTACTCCTCGCCTCAGGCCACTCCTCTGTCTACTCGCCACTCGCTCTCAGCTCTGCCTTCAGATGAGTCCGTAGAGCCGAGTGGCCCGTACCCAGAGCTTGTTGGCTGCCTCATGTACCTGATGACCTGCACACGACCTGACCTAGCATACCCTCTTAGCATCTTGGCACGCTATGTTGCTCCTGGGAGACATTGACCAGAGCACATGGCTGCAGCGAAGAGGGTGTTGCGCTATTTGTGCAGTACGTCGGGCATGGGGCTAGTGCTTGGAGGGCGACGTCCAGTGGTCCTCACAGGTCACGCAGACGCTTCTTGGGCTGACGACCAGGCTACGCAGCGGTCGTCACAGGGTTACACCTTCAGCCTTGGCTCCGGCTCTGTTTCGTGGCGGTCTACCCGCTCGTCTTCTGTTCTCGGCTCCAGCTGTGAGGCTGAGATCTACGCGGGGGCCATGGCTGCACAGGAGCTACGCTGGCTCACCTACCTGCTGACTGACCTAGGAGAGCCGCCTCGTTCTCCTCCAGTTCTGTACGTAGACAACAAGGCCATGCTGGCCTTGTGTCGGGAGCACAGACTGGAGCACAGAACGAAGCACATTGCTCTTCGCTACTTCCTTGCTCGTGAGCTGCAGCAGTGTGGTCAGCTGCGCCTTGCTTACGTGGCCTCTGAGGCCAACACTGCTGATATCTTTACCAAGGCACTTCCGCCTTGTGATCATCAGCGCTTCTGTACGATGCTAGGTCTTGTGCCTACTTGGCCTCACTTGCTCACTTCTTGACCTTGCTTGTGCTGTGATCTTTCTATACCTGCACTTGCTTGTTTACCTTTATATATGATCTTGCATGAGAACTGGCCTTGTGGCCTTGCTCTTGTGCTCGGACTGTGTGGTGACGTTGTGATCCACCCTGAGCTTGCTTTGCTTTGCTTGACTGGTCTTGTGACCTCTTGTTCTCCCCCACTTTGCCTATGGGGGTGTGTCAAACTCATATGCTATAGTCTGTGTAGGCTGTAGTGGGGTAGACAATATGGGGTACAACACTTTTAGGTTTTCCTACTTGTACCCACCTGCTTGCTAGTTCATTCATTCCTCATTTCTTCACATCCGACTCTTTTACAGTTGAGAATGAGGAGAGGGCAGACAGGGAATGAGGAGAGGGCAGACAGGGAATGAGGAGAGGGCAGTCGGATTAGTAGGTTTTTTGCAGTTCGAGAATGAGGAGAGGGCAGACGTGGATGGGTTGTGCGTTCACATCGCAGGTACAATCGAGGGTTGACGTTTTTGTCGCAGGTGGTTACTAGGGTGCGGTGCAAGGTTCCATAGTAGGGGCGCCGATGTGGATCAGCTACGTTGGTCGCACCCCGTATGAACCTAACGCTGCCACCCATGTGATCCTCTCAGAATATGTGGTTATCAGCGCCAGCTGGGGCCGCAAGCGAGGTGCCGCCCACGGGCAACGAATACCTAAACCCGTTCGGACGAGATGCTTTCGGGAATCGAGAGGCATCAACCATGGTAAACACCTCGCCGCAAGGCGTTGACCTAATTCTCCCATTCCCTGAGTTGTAAGGAAACAGAAATACTCCAACGTCGTCTAGCGCTGCCTGCGGGCAAAGCAAAAAAACCCCCATGGTTGAAATGCCCTTCGGGAGCCATCCCTAAACACCTACTAGGTTCCCGCCTACTAGGTGGGGTGCTGCTGACATAGAAGATAGGGGTAGTCAAGTAGGGGTGCCACTTTGTCGAAAAACGAAAGATATTTCTTGTGGTGCGGTTCTAGAGCAGGGACGTTGGCTTGGCATCTTGGCAATCATGTTCCGGTACAAGGAACCTTTTCAAGTCGATTGTCGCGAAGAAGGTTCACATTTCGTGATTGACGACGTAGACGAAACATGTTACAAAAAAACTTTTTTTCGTCTCTCTGTTAACCTGCTGTACACTTTTGTTATGCGCGATACGTTACCGTATTTGGAAACTACAGCAGGTTTGGAATATGGACGGAAAACGTCGTCAATTGCGAAAAGTAAGCCTTCTTCACCAGAACGTACACGACCGTGTCGGCGTTGCTGTTCTATGTCAATCACTTGCGGGAAAAGGGGTACTTTAGGGTTTCGGCTCGGCACCCGTATGTTCTACGGCGACAGCACCCTGTACGTAGTTAGCATCCCTTGAAGTTGACCATCGAAGGCATCGCGCTGTTTTGTTTTTTTTTTGGAGTCCGCGGGAAACTCGCTTGGCACCGGAACCCGTTCTTTGCTCGCGGACGAAGGAGCACCCTCATGGAACCTCGTACGGCAACCCCAAGGCAGAATAGTCAACGGGTCCTTGTTCAGTTCACTGGTGACGCTGCCACCCGTACGAACCGTTCAGAACATACGGGCGACGTAACGTCGCTAAGTGGTCACCGCACCAGATTACGTTCTTCATTCGCGGGCAAAGGGACATTGGCACCCCGTATGTTCTCGTCAGCACGCGACATCCCCATGGGTCGGCGGCGGCTGTCCAGCATCGCTCACCTGAGACTCTGACTCTCGCTGCTGTTGATCTGACCTGCGCGCTGCCCACTCTCCAGCGGACTCTCCGCTTCGCTTTGAGGCGCTGGCAGAGGCGCTTCAGAGGCGCAACCCGCCTCTGCGGGTTTGCAAGAAAGCAGTGAGTGCCTTTTCTCAGCATTTAGGGTCCCGAGTTGTAAGTCCCATTAATTCGTTCCCTTCACAGTTAGTACCACCACCACATCACTTTGGGCTGTGAGTTCCCAACTCTCAGAAAGGTCTTTCAACACAGCCCACCTCTCCCTGAAGATAGATCCTTCATTTCTCCTTATCCGTATCGCTACTCTGACACACACCCTCCTGCTCCCACAGTGCTTTCTATACACGAGTGCCGCGAGAATGGCGTGTTCTCGGACGGTCATCGTGTTGGCGCTGCTGCTGCACGCGGCGTGCCTCTCATCGCCGCCTCGTCTCGTCGAGGGCTACTCTTGGCCTCTCAGTGAAGCAGCAAGCACCCGCCGCGAGATGGCCAAGGCGCCTGGTGAGTGTCCCGCGCAGTCGCCTGCGCATCATCTCAGTGTCTCATCGTCGCATCATCTCATCGTCGCATCGTCGCATCGTCTCATCGCGGGCTACGCTTGGCCGCTCAGTGAAACAAGCCCCACCCGCCGCGAGATGGCCGCCGCCAAGCCGCCTCGTGAGCAGCCCACACAGTCGTCCGAGGGACTGCAGCCGTCACTGCTGTCGTCACTGCTGTCGTCACTGCAGCCGTCACTGCAGCCGTCACTGCAGCCGTCACTGCAGCCGTCACTGCAGCCGTCGCTCCACCTGCCCCATCCGCATCCGGACCGTCTTGTTTCGTCGCATTTTTGGGACTTTGATTCTCCCCATGATGTGCCAAACTAATCCCCACGCCCGTGCCCTCCTTCTCCCGTCCCCCTCCCCCCTCCCCCCTGCCCCCTCCCCTCTCCCGTCCCCCTCCCCCGTCCGCCAGTCGAATGCCCCGACGGCGTGGTGTGCCCCGACGGGGCCTACTGCGTGTTGGACCGCGACGACTTCCCCTTCTGCACGTGCCCCTTCTCATTTCTCTCCCCCTCTCCCCGCTCCCCCCCTCCGCCAGTCGATTGCCCCGACGGCGTGGTGTGCCCCGACGGGGCCTACTGCAGGTTAGACCGCGACTACTTCCCCTTCTCATCTGCCCTCCCCCTCTCCCCCCCCTCCCTCTCCCTCTCCCGTCCCCCTCCCCCCTCTGCCAGTCGATTGCCCCGACGGCGTGGTGTGCCCCGAGGGGGCGTTCTGCCGGTTGGACCGCGACGACTTCCCCTTCTGCATGTGCCCCTTCGGCCACACCCTAAGCGGCCCCTATTGCGACCGTTACTACCGGTGGAAAACGGTCGGCACCAGTCTCGTTCTCTACAACGCGCCCTCCTTCAACAACTCGCCCGCCACGCTCCCGCCCGCCGTGCTGCGCGCCCCCCCACCCAACTCATCTGCCTGTGCGGTCGTGCCGAAAGGGTTTAGCGGCAACGTGGGGTCGCTGCGGATCCTGTGGAACGTGGATGACGGCATGAGGGATCAACTGGTGTGCGGCAAGGTGCTGTTCTGGGATAAGAGCGACTGCTCCGGGTCGGCGACTGTGTACGAGATTCCCGGCAAGTGGACAGCCGCCAAGTTCAACAAGTTCACCTACGCCACCACCAGCGTCAAGTGAGTGAGGGGCCAGCCACACGAGCAGCGTCGAGTGAGTGAGGGGCCAGCCACACGAGCAGCGTCAAGTGAGTGAGGGGCCAGCCACACGAGCAGCGTCAAGTGAGTGAGGGGCCAGCCACACGAGCAGCGTCGAGTGAGTGAGGGGCCAGCCACACGAGCAGCGTCAAGTGAGTGAGGGGCCAGCCACACGAGCAGCGTCAAGTGACTCGTGGCAAGTGGACGGCCGCCAAGTTCAACAAGTTCACCTACGCCACCACCAGCGTCAAGTGAGTGGCGTAGCAAAGCGACACAAGTAGCGTCAAGTGAGTGAGTGGCGTAGCGAAGCGACACAAGAAGCATCAATTGAGTGAGTGGCGCATTGCAGGGTTTAGGGTAATCTCTGCTCTGCCTGCGCTGACCGTGGCAAGTGGACGGCCGCCAAGTTCAACAAGTTCACCTACGCCACCACCAGCGTCAAGTGACCCGCACAGTCTACCGCTCTTGCAGGGTTCAGGGTTCAGGGTTCAGGGTTCAGGGTGATCTCTGAGTTCCCTGAGATGACTTGACCGTGGCCCTGCTGTGTTGGCTGCAGCACTGACCGTGACTCTGCTTGTGCTGCTGCCTGCTTGCACCGAGTGCACCGTTTGCAGGAATACAGCCGGCGTGGACGCCAGGGTCCGGTTCTTCTCGTGTCTGATGGCCGTGAAGCCGCCTGTCGCCACCCTCTGTACCTTTTGAGGCGTCTCAACAGTGGCTCCGCTTGTTGCCTGTTTGTACCACCCGAGTGCAGGAAGGCAGCGGGCGTGGACGCCAGGGTCCGGTTCTTCTCGTGTCTGACGGCCGTGAAGCCGCCCGCCACCACCCTCTGTGCCTTTTGAGACGTCTCAAAAGTGGCTCCGCTTGTTGCCTGTTTGTACCTACTGACTGCAGGAAGACCACCGGCGTGGACGGCAAGGCGCGGTCCTTCTCGTGTCTGATGGCCGTGAAGCCCCCGACACCAACCTGTGTGCCTTTCCAGACGTCTCAAAAGTGGCTCCGCTTGTTGCCTGTTTGTTGCACCGTTTGCAGGAAGACCACCGGCGTGGACGCCAAAGTGCGGTCCTTCTCGTGTCTGATGGCCGTCAAGCCGAGCGTCACGAACCTGTGTGCCCATGTACCGACTGCAGGAAGACGGCCGGCGTGGACGCCAGGGTCCGCTCCTCGTGTCTGATGGCCGTGAAGGCTAGGGTGATTGATCTCTGAGTTCCCTGCGTTCACCATGACTCTGCTTGTTGCCTGTTTGTACCGTTTCTACTGACTGCAGGAAGACAGCCGGCGTGGACGCCAAGGCGCGGTCCTTCTCGTGTCTGATGGCCGTCAAGCCGAACGTCACGAACCTGTGTGACATAACGTCGTGCCCGCCCGAGTCCACGTGCACCCTCGTGAAGAACGGCTCCTTGGCGCAGTGCACGTGCGGCTACGGACTCGCCATGAGCCCTGAGGGCTCCTGCGTTGGTGAGTCGGTGTTGTGTTTTCAGACGTCTCAAAACTCGTACCCGGCTGACTGCACGTGCGCCCTCCTGAAGAGCAGCTCCTTGGCGCAGTGCACGTGCGGATTCGGACTCGCCATGGACCCCCAGGGGGCCTGCGTTGGTGAGTGTCGCCAACCTGTGTGTATTGGCGGCGTTGTGCCCACGTGACTCCACGTGCACCCTCAAGAACAGCTCCTTCGCCCAGTGCACGTGCGGCTATGGACTCACCATGGACCCCGAGGGCCTGTGCGTTGATGAGTCATTGTTGTGGAGTGGAGTGGAGTGGAGTCATTGTTTCTCTCCTTTAGTTGACAGCTGGAAAGTTCCCCCCTTAGCTCCCATCCTTGTCGCTCCCTTTCCCTCCCCATCACTCTCTCCTCCCCCCCCTGCTTGTGGCCCCTGCCGGGTCACTTAAATGTTTCATTCACTCACTTCACCGACTCGCTTCGTCTCCCTTCTCTCCCCCTCAGCACTCTCAAAGCACACCGGTGACGCAATCACATGGAGTGGGCAAGAAGACATTAGAAACGGGTGGACCTTAAACACGGTGCTATTCAATCTGCCCATCTCGTTCTTTCAATGCAGACGCGTGTTCTATCAAGGACTATGGCACGGGTGGCTCGTGCGTCATTCTATCCAACGGCAATCCGTATTGCAATTGCAAGCAAGGCTACGAGCTGGAAGGTGTAACAGGGACTTGCATCGGTATGTGTGCTTAGATTGGTGTGTACTCTCTCCCTCTCTCACTGTTCCCCTCCTTTTTGCTCTTTCCATCTCATTCCCTCTCCCATACTCTTTCCTCATCCTATCCCCTCCCCTTTCCTCCCCATTCCTCTCCTCTCCCCTCTCCCCCCCTCGCTCTTGCTTCCTTGCTCTCCCACGTGAATCACACCTGTTCTGACCAATCCCCTATCCACACGAGTCACAATCCCATGTCTTCCGTGATTTCCTCAACCCCGTTATTTCCCACCCTATCATTTCCTCAACCCCGTTATTTCCTCAACCCCGTGATTTCCCCAACCCCGTTATTTCCCCAACCTCGTTATTTCCCCAACTCCGTTATTCCCCAACCCCGTTATTTCCCAAACCCAGTTATTTCCCCAACCCCGTTATTTCCCAAACCGAGTTATTTCCCCAACCCTGTTATTTCCCCAACCCCGTTATTTCCCCAACCCCGTTATTTCCCCAACCCCGTTATTTCTCCAACCCCTTTATTTCCCCAACCCCTTTATTTCCCCAACCCCGTTATTTCCCCAACCCCGATATTGCCTACAGGAGAAGGCCAGTGCAAGGACTGCCTTCAGGGCACCTTTGGCCCCAACTCTCTACCGTACCCATACTGCGCCCCTGGCTTCAACATGCTATCTGGCGTTTGCCTGCCAGGTGGGTGCTGTAGTTCGTGCGGTGCGGTGCGGTGCGGTGCTGTGCGGGCTATGCATGCCTTTTTTCATGCTATTAACGGAGTAGTACCTATGTAACTACGTTGCGGTTGCTGCTTCGCCATCATTTGAGGGAAACATCTAGTGCCAGCACTTCCTTGCATCTTCGTTGTATCTTCCTTGCATTTTCCTTGCACCTTCCTTTCATCTTCCTAAGAGTCTTACACCTTCTCATCCCAATCGATTTTGCATCTCCAACACTCCCTACTCCCAATCCCCCTCCAACAACCCCCTGCATCCAATCCCCTTGCAGGAGTCCTTCCTGACGTGGCAGACATGACCATTAGCATCTACAGCTCCCTCAGCTTCGGCACCACAAGTCCGCCTTATGTCTTCCGCCTCAAGCCAAACAAGTGTGTAACCATGCCTGCGGAGGTGGTTACCAACATGCAATCCATGGGCATTCTGTACCGTGCTCCTGGCACCAACATGCGGTGCTCGGCACAAGTGTTCTACGATCTGCCCAACTGCGCTGGGACCCCACTGAAGTCTGACGTGCCTGCTGGCAACGACCTTTATGCAGTGCCCATTCCGTGAGTGTCTCTCCCACTCTCCCTCTCCTCTCCCACTCTCCCTCTCCTCTCCCACTCTCCCTCTCCTCTCCCACTCTCCCTCCCTCCCTCCCTCCCTCCCTCTTTCCCTCCCCCCCTCCCCCCCCCCCCCCTCCCTCTCTCTCCCCCTCCCTCCCTCCCTCTTCCCACTCGTTTCTGCCATTATTCCGCAAACTATGCACAAACTCTCAAATATCCGCATTTCTTTTAATTTCTATATTTCTCTCAACAGGTATCTTGGAAACTGGAAGCCGCAGTCCATGATGTGCCTTCTGTGGTAATGTGGAGTCTTTGCCTCGAAATACTTCAAGCTTTTAGATCCGTTGGAAGCTTTGAAGATTGCTGTGAAGGTTGATATCAAGCTGCATGGCATCGGGAGATCCCCCGAGCAGTCGGGATTGTTACCCTATTTCCCTGTTTTGCAGGGTAGCTTTGCCTACCGACCCTGAATTTCAGAGTTTTAGATTTTGCCACAGAAAAAACCAACTTTTTGTTTTTGTTACTGCAACGATTTCTCAGCTATGGCTGCTTCTCCATTCTCTCCCCCTCCCATCACTCTCACAATTTTCAAGCTGTTCTGTACTCATCTATGTGCAAGTCTCTCCCCTTTATCATCCTATCAATTCTCCATTTAGAGTTCTTAGAGTCCAGCCCATCAAGTACTGAGTGGGACGTTCAGCCGACCAAGTATATTGCAATCAGAAGAGCAGCCCACCAAGATGGTTACTGGAAAATCAAACACCACCGGCAGGGCCCAAAATATCAGGGTAAAACGCTCTGATTACCCTGGGGGCAGGCCGCTTTTTCAAGATTACCCTGTCAAAATCAGGATTCCACGAAAGTTACCCTTTTGCAAAAAGAGCATGTTTTTTTTTACCCAGATAGGATTTATGGTTAGCCTGACAGTATCAGGGTAGGGTGTAGACTACCCTGATACCGAAATTTTTTACCGCGGATCAGGCCATACTCCGCTTGGTGACGAACTGTACCACACCTACGCAAACAAGCGTTGTCGCTTCTTACCACTGGCATAAAACCAAGAGTCGTTGTCGGCGACACGCCATGTCGCCTCATGTTAAAATGTAGTAGCAGGAATGGATGAACTATGCAAGAGTTGGGTACAAATGTGAAACCCTAATGGGTTGTACCCCATGTTGGCTACCCCACTACAGCCTACACATATATGACATAGATATAATTTGACACACCCCCATAAGCAAAGTGGGGGAGAGCAAGGGGTCACCAGGGCCCAAAATAGGTTTAGGCTCACTCTTTCAAATCGGGGTGGCAGGCCCTCCGTACCCTGACTGTTAGGGTGATTTTCGTGGTTCACTGTTTACAGCAGTGTAAAAATTTGGGTACACTGATTTCAGCAGGGTATGTTTTCCGGTACACTGATGCATTAGCAAATACTTAGAAAGGTGAGAACAGTCGAACGACGAACGTGAGAAAGGTGAGAGAATGGCGAGAGGCTGAGAGACCCCTTGGGAATCACAAAGCCCAAGAAGGCCCAAGCAGCACGGTTCCCGCGCACCGCGGGAAGTACATGGCAGAGGCTTCAACACCACAATCACTGCCATGTGGTGCAAACGATAGCAAGAAACCCACCTGTCGCGCATTTTGGCACCGTTGGCAGTGAGCGATGCTTCGGGAACGCCCTACGTTGCTTGGATGTTGCTCAACGGACCAATCGTAGGCGTGCGCGTGCAGCCGCGCTGCTTCTACGTTGGCGCGCTAGTGGGCATACCGTACAAATGCTCCAGTGGGTCCGTGGTGAATTTTGTCTTGGCGCGTACTGTGGCAGAATACTCAGTTAGAAAAAGATCCGGTAAAAGTGTAGTTGAGCCCGTACCCTGATACAGCCAGTGTAACTAAACTTGTTACAAGAGTGCTTTTCTCGGTATCCTGATTTCACTAGGGTAAAAAATTGCATAGCCTGATTTCACACGGGTAACTGCCAAAAAGCGGCCTACCATCAGGGCAAAAAGGGTATTTTACCCTTGAAATTTGGGGCCTGGGGGTCACCAGACCAGTCAAGAGAAGCAAAGCAAGCTCAGGGTGGATCACAACCAGGGGTTTTTTTATCAAAGTAAATTACACTATTTCTCTGGAAATCAGAGTGGTTTTTAGGGGGTCACTCTGACGTGACTGGGTAATTTTTTTGAAAGATAAGTTTTCTCTGATTTGTCAGGGTTCTGATTTTAGCTACTTTGAGGGACCAGTGTATATTTTGTGAAGAAATGAGGAATGAAGAAGAGAGGGTTGCACTAGCAGCAGTTGGCATACATATAGGAAACCCTAATTGGGTTGTACTCGCTATAGAGTACCCCACTGCAGGCTAGACAATTATAACATTCTGACACACCCCCATAGCCAA